CCTGGTTATATCGAAGCCGGAACTCTAATCGGTTGCAGAGACGTCATTTTCCTTGAAATGGCGGTGGGAGAAGACGATTACGGCGGAGGGAGGTAGCGTACGGTGGGGCAGTTTCTGGGGGAGGAAGACAGGGGAGGGTTTGTTTTTGCAGTTTTCTGATTTTTGATTTTTTCACGTTTTTGCAGGAGCGGGAGATAGGGTAATGAGGTTCCAGGGGTAAAATTGGATAATAGGTGGCTAAAATTGGGACATGGACTTTTCTCAAATGGTCTAAAATATTTTGGGCCTACCTCTATTAAAAAAAGTAATGGGGGGTTATGTCAAAGAGCCCCTTTAATTAAATATTGTTAAGGTACCTGTCTGTAAACTAAGCTGTTTGTTTGTTTTAGGTCAATGTTTGGTTATAATTAGTTTATTTCTTTAGGGTTTAGATGACCATTAATTTGGAAACATAATTAACAGATTGTTAATTATTCTCTTAATTTGATCCTTGAAAATTGTAGAGATTCTGTTGCTGGGCCTTGTTTTTATTTGGGCTTTAATGGCCTTACGGGCCTTTTAGCAATTATGGCGCATTTTGAATTGCACTGATTTCGATCCAAAAAATTTCGATTTTGGAACAAAAAATTTCATTGCAATTCTGATTTTTTCAATTTGGTTTAGAACTGGAATTAATTTTTCCCATTCTAAAAAAAAATCAGATTATTTCGAAAGTGTTAATATCGATCCGATTCGTCCAATTCCTATCCTTAAAGAGTATTTCGAAAGTGTTAATTTCAATCCGATTCGTCCAATTCTTATCCTTAAAGAGGATGCATGTCCACTGACCTAAAACATATTAATCACTATGGCAATGATTGGAAGAACCGTACTGCAAATACTTCAAAAGTGATTCTAAGCCGAAAAAAGTTCGGAATCAATTCTCAAAACATTTTGCCAACACCACCTTAGAAGAACGGCCATTTGTATACATTTATCCACGTATGATTGCCGCTTGCCGGCCGTGTAATTAGTTAGCATTTAGTTTTGAGTTTAATATCAATTTACTAATTTTATTATCTAATTAATTCCCTAGACAATCCCAACACTCCAAATCACAAGCAAACAAACTCCATATATAATATATTTTAAAAAATGATAATGTGTAAATGAAAAAAAAAAAAAGAGTTGGAAAAACCAGTCATATCAATTTTAAAAATAGGAAAAAACAAAACAATTTTTTTAAAAATTACACTACTCATTAATTATGAATCTTCTTGCATATATTTTTTTATGGTGTCAAATTCCACAAAATCATCTAAATTTTGTGGAATGTTCTCTAATTTGTACTCGTTTTGTGCAAAAAGACAGCTTCTGATGCAACACAATTTGATATTTACAAGCCACGTGACACATCTTATGCTCATCTTGTTTCAAAATGTGGAGCTCTAATGAGATAAAACAGATATAAACTGGTATAGAAGATTCCACTAAATTTGACATCGCAAGGGTATACATGTAAGAAAATTCATAGTCAAAAGAGGTAGTTGTAATTATCCAAACATGAGAAGATTTTTTGTAATTTCACCTTACCTTAGAGTGAGCGTAATTTATCCAATTATTTATAATGTGGCAATGTTGAATAGAAATATAAGGTATGTAACAAGTTGACTTGAGATACCGATATAAAAGCAAATATCAACAAATTGACATTTCTAACTTTGTACCAAAAATAAAATATAATAAAATAAATAAATTAAACTAAAATGAAATAAATTCAATTAAATAAAATAGAAACAACTGTATATATACATAGGTTGCACAAACATGTTGAAGACAAATCACAATTGCAAATAAATACCTTTCAAAAATGGGATATTTTTCAAATTTATTAATTTCCACAATTTTACTTTCTTGTACAATATGGTCCATCTCCATTCTTCAAATCTCAGCCGTTCGATTTCCGATCAACGTTTGGCCCAAGCCCACCACGTTCCACTGGCCCCACCCACAGGCGATCCCTCTCTCTCCCAAATTCATCATCTCCGCCCCCCGCCACCACCGCCACCTCTCCGCAGCCGTCCACCGCTACCTCCGCCAGATCCTCACCGAGCACCACCGTCCCCTCGTCAGCCCACCACTCAACCTCACCTCATCGCCGCCGCTCAAAACCCTCAAAATCACAGTCGCCGACACCGCCGCCGCGCTCGCGCACGGCGTCAACGAGTCGTACACGCTCGAAATCCCGTCCACCGGCGCCGCCGCCGTGCTGACCGCCGAAACCCCATGGGGCGCGATGCGCGGACTGGAGACGTTCTCGCAGCTGGTGTACTCGAAGCCGTCGGTGGTGGCCTGCGGGCTGCGCATTTCCGACGCGCCGCTGTTCGCCCACCGCGGAGTGTTGCTGGACACGTCGAGAAACTACTTCGAATTGGACGATTTGCTGCGGCTGATTAGGGCGATCGGCATGAACAAACTGAACGTCTTCCACTGGCACATTACGGACTCGCACTCGTTCCCTCTGGTTACGCCGTCGGAGCCGGAGCTGGCGGCGAAGGGCGCGTACGGCGAGGCGATGAAGTACACGGCGGCGGATGTGAAGAAGGTGGTGCAATATGGGATGGAGCACGGTGTTAGAGTTGTGCCGGAGATTGATATGCCTGGTGAGTACATTGTCTCTGTGTTTCAATGTGTGTTTTTAAAATTGATTATTTTTTTTTTTTTGAAAAAAATAAATAAATGTATCTTGATTTCTTAAAATGTGAATTCAATCTGTAAAATAATATATTCTCTTGTAAATGAATCGAGTTCGAACGTAGTTTGTTCAAGGTTGTTTGATTTTATCGAGTTTTTGGAGTTGTGTTTGAGTTTGGATTGATACGAAATCGAGTCGAAGTCGAAAAGCCACACACGAATTGAGCTAGAGTGGCTTGATTTTTCAATTTTTTAGTATATTTTATGATATTTTTTTTTCTAATCGATAAAGAGTTGGATTCGATCGTCATGTTTGAGCTTCATAAAATATTTGTTCAAACTTGGTTTGTATGATAACAAACCGAGCTCAAATCGAGTTCCTAATGAACGATCTCGAATCGAGTACCGAGTAGATCGATTTGATCTTCGACTGAATGTGAAACTGCAGAGATGTATTTTTCTACAAATGGAATTCATTCAATTTGTAGTTATGATAATCGAAGAATCGTTCTGTTTCTTACTCTTATTTTGCTTGGTGTGATATGATAGTGATTCATAAATAATGTGCTGCATTAAAGTGTATTAGTTCATATTTGCAGTAATTAGGTTCTTTCTATTAGTTTCAGCTTCTAGAAGATTCTAGAACTTTAACTTATCTCAATTTCCCGTATTTGCAGCTCACACAGGATCATGGGCAGAAGCCTATCCAGAAATCGTAACCTGCGCAAACGAATTCTGGTGGCCAATCGAATCCGAATGGTCCGATCGATTAGCAGCCGAACCAGGAACCGGTCAACTAAACCCCCTAAACCCCAAAACCTACCAAGTCGTCAAAAACGTAATAAAAGACGTCGTTTCTGTCTTCCCCGACAAGTTCTTCCATGCGGGCGCCGACGAAATCACTCCAAACTGCTGGAAAACCGACCCTTCGATCCAAGAATTCCTCTCCAAAAAGGGTACCCTAAGCCAAGTTCTCGAAATTTTCGTCAACTCCACTTTACCCTACATTCTGTCGCTAAATCGGACGGTAGTTTACTGGGAGGACGTTTTACTGGACGAAAACGTGAGAGTGGACCCCACTTTTCTCCCCCGCGAAAACGTCATCCTACAAACGTGGAATAACGGGCCGAACAATACTAAAAAAATCGTTTCCTTAGGTTACCGCGCGATTGTTTCTTCGTCGGATTATTACTACTTGGATTGTGGGCATGGTGGGTTTTTGGGCAACGATAGTCAGTACAATCAGCTGCCCGGATTCGAGCAGGGCAAGGGCGGGTCGTGGTGTGCGCCCTTCAAGACATGGCAGACGATATATAACTACGATATCACGTCCGGATTGAGCGGTGTCGAGGCGGAGCTGGTGGTGGGCGGTGAGGTGGCGCTGTGGTCGGAGCAGGCGGATTCGACCGTGATGGATTCTAGGGTTTGGCCGAGGGGTTCGGCCATGGCGGAAGCGTTGTGGTCCGGGAATAGAGACGAGTTTGGGAAGAAGAGATTCGCGGAGGCGACCGATAGGTTGAGTGAGTGGAGGTATAGGATGGTTTGCAGGGGAATTGGAGCTGAGCCTATTCAGCCACTTTGGTGTGTTAAGAATCCAGGCATGTGTAACACTGTTCATCCTTTTTAGTTCTTTCTTTTCTTGTAATCAAGAAAATTTCTCTCTCTAGATTTTTTTGTTTGGGATGGTGAAGAATCATAGAATGATCATTAGGGTGTGTTTGTGCAATTTTTTATCAAGATGTGATAGTATAATTTTATCAAGGAAAAGATATTGTACTAATTAAATCTAAATATGGGTAAATTACAACCACACCCTTGAGGTATGGTAAAATTACGAAAACCCCCACCCCCGTTTGGGTAATTACAACAACCCCTCAATTATAAATTTTCTTACGCGTCAACCCTTATGTTGAATCTAGTTGATTATGTTGAATTTAACACCATAAGGGTGGATGTGTAAGAAAATTCATAGTTGAGGGGTAGATGTAATTATTCAAACAAGAGGGGGTTTTTTCGTAATTTGATCATACCTCAGAGGGTGGTTGTAATTTACCCATCTAAATATATATGGTTTTGTTATTTGACTTATCTTACCAACCAAACGAGACTTTTAACGGTCAATCGATTTATATTGTCAAACACAAGTTTGCTAAAATTTGTATAAAGTGGAGTAGGTTTATGTTTAATGCAGCAAGTTAAGCAGCACAGCTGCAATAGCTTGAGCTTCTGATCTTTTCTTTATGTCATTATGTCAAACTTCAACTTTCTTGCACTCAATCACTAAAATTAGTTTTTTATTTTTTTTTTATTTTTTATAAATTAAAATCTCTCAATTGTTCCCTCTTACGGAGAACGAATCGACTTAAACGGGAAGGAAAACGTGAAAATTATAAAATGACCATTTCACCCTCCACAAAAACCGCCTATAAAAAAGCCATGCACAACCATCTCAAAAACTCATAATTTATAATTAACATGGCTTCTTCATCAATATTATTCCCCTTATTGGCTTCCGTAATCTTCGGCCTCGTTTTCTTCGCTGCACCATCTTCTTCTTCGATCACATGCAGCGACGTGATCAAGGATCTGAGGCCGTGCATCAACTACCTCAGGGGCGGCAGTGGGGCGGCACCACCGCCTTCACCTTGCTGTGCCGGAGCATCGAACCTCGCCACGTCAGCAACCACCACAGCCGACAAACAGACTGCTTGTGCATGCCTCAAGAATGCTGCAACGAATATTAATCTCAATCCTGATCTTGCTAAAGCTCTTCCGTCGAAATGTGGCATCTCTTTGTCGTTCCAAATCTCGCCCACCGTTGATTGCTCCAAGTAATTATTATTTGCTTCTTTTTTTTGTTTCAAACATATTTGCAGATTGAGTAAAAAAATTTGTTAGTGATTTATCTTTAATATCTCGCGATTTTTTGCAGGATCGGTTAAGTCGGTCGTTAATTATGAACCGTTGAAGCCCATTGGATCGTTTATGATTCGAATGAGCTTATGTTTCATATGGAGTTTATGTTATATGTACTATGGTTTTGTGTTTGTTGTTGAATAAAATTTTACTTCTCTTCTATGGAGAAGGTATGTTCAATGAGAGATTTATTTATGTTTCTTGTCATTTTTTTTTTGAATTGCCATTATACTGCTATATATTGTATCTAGACATTAATATTAAATATATCAAATAAGCTTGTAGAGAGTTTATTGATAAAATAAAAGTATAATTAGGGGTGTAAATCGGACAAATCGGATCGGAATCAGCCCTTTCGAACAAATTCTGATTTTTTCGGAAGTGAAAAATTAGTTCCAATTCCGTTCCAAAATATCGGAAATTGGAACGAAAAAACTTGTTTTAAAATCGGAAAATTTCGAATCAGAATCGGCGGAATTCTGAATTTTCCAATTTTTACTTACCTTAAATATAAAATACATAATAATATTGGTATTTTAATTGTAATATTCGTAAAAAAAAATGAAATTTTTTTCGGAACTTTAATCGGATCAGAAATCGGAAACTCATATATATGTCAATTCCAATCCACATAATTTCGGAAAAATCGACAGTCAGAATTTCAGAACTCGGATTGAAAAATATTGTTTTAAAATCAGAAAATTTCGAAATCAGAATCGGCGTAAATCGAAAATTCCGTTCCAATTTCCACCCTTAGTCCGTAATGTTAAGAAAACTGCACAAAATATCTTTTAATTGTTGAAAATTATTTATGATTTTATATTATATTTTAGGTTAAATTAAAAACATCCCTGAGGTATGGTCAAATTCCAAAAAAAAAAAAAAAAAAAATCTGTCATGTTTGAATAATTACAACTATCCATCAACTATCAATCTTGTTACACGTTCACCCTTATGGTGTCAAATTCAACATAATCTTTCCAGATTACATGGAATGTTCTCTAGTTTATACTCATTTTGTACAAAAATGCAGTTTCTGATGCACCACAATTTAATATATACAAGCCAAAAAACACATCTTATGGTCATCTAATTTGCTTCAAAATGTGGAGCTCAAATGCGATAAAACGGGTAGAAATTTGAGATTATTGCATATAATCTAAAAGATTTTACAAAAATTTGACACCGCAAAAGTGGACGTGTAAGAGAATTTATAGTTGAGGGGTCGTTGTAATTACCCAAACATGAGGGGGGGTTTCGTAATTTAACCATACATCAGGGTGGTGGTTGTAATTTACCCTATATACTCTCCGTTCTATCGTCTCCGAGGATAAGATAAACCAAAAAAAAAATCAAACACAGCACTCACTCTGAAAACCCGCCACCATGTCACTCTCCGTCTCCGCCACAATTCCCACCGCCAAGCCCTTCTCCTCCTCCGCCACCACCACCTCCGCCGCTCCCTCCTCCTCCTTCCTCCTCCGTCTCCCAATCAAGCGTCTCTCCGCCCTCTCCCTCAATGCCACCTCCTCCAAGCCCTCCGCCCCCATTTCCGCCTCAATGGAGGCCGGAATCGGCGTAATGGCCACAAAATTAGGTATGATGTCGTTCTTCGATCCCTCCGGCGTAGTAATCCCCGTCACCGTCGTCGGATTCCGCGAGGGCAACATCGTCACTCAGATTAAGACCGAAGCCACCGACGGATACGACGCCGTTCAGGTAGGGTACCGGAGAATTCGAGACCGGAAGCTGACGAAACCGGAGATGGGACACTTGGAGAAATCCGGAATTATTCCACTGCGGCACTTGCAGGAGTTCAGACTGCAGTCGATTGAAGGGTTTCAGCCGAATCAACGGCTGTCCGTGGAGGAGCTGTTTAAGGAAGGCGATTTGGTTGATGTTTCCGGCACCACCATCGGAAAGGGTTTCCAAGGTATCTAATTATCATCAATTATCAATTCGTTCTACGATAAAAGATGTAATGTGGATAAGGATAAGGGTGTAAATGAATTGAGTCGAGGCGAACACGCCATTATTCAAACTTGTTTTGAATTTCTTATCGAGTTTCAGTAATTGTGTTCGACCTTAGTTTGATTAGCAATCAAACAAGATTGATGAACGGGCTTTAATCGAGTCAAGCACCTATTTTTATCAAATTTCTCTAATCGAGCTCGAGTGAAATTTGAAGTTAGGGTGTTGAAATTGGAAAATGTGCAATACATGAAAAAAAAATCTTGAATCTATACGAGTTACGAGTTTTTGTATGTAAATGTGGTATTTGCGTGTGTGAACTAAAATGCAACTAATTAAACGCGTAAAGTCCTTATTAGGATTGATGAATTTGACGCTAAGGATTTCAAATCCATTGAGTTTGTTTGGTTGAACTCATTCTTAGAAACGGATTTCAAATCACATCCTATTAGTTTGAACTATTTGCGTGTGATTTGAAAAGGAAAAGCTCGGTAAATCTGTTTTGGTTAACGACAGGTGGTATTAAGAGACATAACTTCAGGCGGGGGCCGATGAGTCACGGGTCGAAAAGTCACAGGCAACTCGGATCAATTGGTGCCGGTACAACACCTGGACGTGTTTATCCGGGGAAGAAGATGCCTGGGAGAATGGGAGGAACAAAGACCAAGATCCGAAAGCTCAAGATTATTAAGATCGACACTGACCTAAACATTGTCATGATCAATGGTGCTTTACCTGGTAAGCCTGGAAATCTTCTTCGTATTACTCCGGCTAAGATTGTCGGCAAGAACATACCCAAAAGTTGATGACTCAACTCTTTTGTAATTTTTTTTTCCCTTCATTTCTGGATTGTGTGGTGACTTTTTGTAGTTTTGTTTTCAATTAGTGGTATTTCAATTCATATTCCTTGGTTGAAATGCATCAATTTGTTGGATCAAATTGTACACTATTTTGGCCAAAGATTGTCTTCACTGTACCAAAAAACTAGTTGGAAAGAGAAGACCCATTTGTAGGTAAAAAATATTGTAGAAATATATAGAAAATTATCATCAACTTGTAGATATTTCTAACACTACCCCAAAACCTCTCTACTATACCCAAAAACATTTATTGAGTTACTTTCAAAACATTTCATTTGTAAGTAAACATATCATGCACGATCGCACACAAACTTGGTTAAAATTGCACGATCGACCTTGATGTGTTTTTTCATTCAAACATCGTTGAGCATTTCATGTTATTAAATACAAATTTCGAATTAACACATTTTCATCATCACATTTTACTTTCATCCAAGAAAAGACATGAACCTAGTTTATAGGTCGGATTTGAATTGACTATAAGAAAAAAATAATGGTTGAGTCGAGAACAAAAAAAAATGTAAAAAAATGTAAATTCATCATTTTAAATCATAATCGTTCGATAATAACTCAAATCCTATGAAGGTAAATTGTTAAAAATCGAAATCAAGAGAATACAAGTTTTGCTACTAAAAATAAATCCAGCTTGCAACACTATATAGTATATACCACCCTTCCTATGGAGACTTTTGCTACAGTAAATTACAACAACGCTATACATCAAGGAATAGAAAATGCTATTTCTTCTGCTGCTGCTTGTTTGGACTGAGTTAATCAATTTTTTCATCATGTGGGGCTGTATCGTAAGTGTTTCTCGTAAAAGTCTATCAGCTGTAAAATAATCAGGAAAAAGAAAAAGGTAAGACATTGATAGATTTTAAATATATACATTGCAACTCATCAAGTCATGTGGTTAATGGTTCAAAAATCATTTAAAAAAAGAAACCGAAAGCATGAAGAATGAAAACACTTACCAAAAGTGGATTGTTAGCTTTCAAAAACTTGTTATCCACTGTAACTTTGGTTCCATCAGACCTGCAGCCACCAGCCAATATGAAATTCATATCACCACAACAAAAGAAATAATTATATTTATGATACGTGCAATAATCAACTAGCTAAAATCACGGCGGAATTAGAAACCAATGCTAAATCAATTACAAAAAGGAAAGGACTAGACTTTTTGAGGTTTCAACACTGGCCAGATTAAAAAGAGAGAAACTGGGTAACTAGTACAAATTGTCTAGTCACGCAAGTGTGAAATAGTATAAACTAAAATTGTCTCTGATTCAATGTTAATCATCGGGTTTTCTGGTATAATGTCCTATTTACAAAACTCCATCAAAAGTAGACTTGAAAACAAATAGGCTTACTTATGAAAAATCGTAATTTTTGGACCTACTACACTATTCTAGACATTTTTTTATTAAAAACTAGTAAGCCGTTGTAAGCAACCAAATACTAAGCATGTGCATATAGATACCGAAAGGCCATTCGTTGTATCCTTGACACGGAAGCATGAACCAACACATACTAGTGTGTGACAATATATGTATGAGCAAAACGACGAAAATTCAAGAAAATTCCTACTACATGTCAGTTTACTGTGTCAAAATTCAAATTAACTGAGACGCACAATAGAAGCTAAAGCCTGCAACTAAACGTTACTATTTCACAAAATTAGTAGTTTGCCTGCCCTGCGATTAATTTCGTTACCTCCTGTGATTAATTGTTTTTTTAGGTAGTGACTAAACAGGAAGAAAAGACAACTATATCCCAAAAAAAATTGATTTAGGATATAATTATAGTTCAATTAGAGATGTTATCTATTAATCACATTTAATACCAGAGTTAAAAACTTTAATAGTAAATCTAATACAAGGAACCAAACAGCTTACTAACTAATCAATTAGTTAATTGGAATTAATCTAATCCAAATTAATTCGGTCCATGTAACCAAACAAGGCCTGGGTTTTAAACTTAGAAATTCACTCATAGCCTTGTTCAGCTAACCAGACTTTATCTTCTCTTGGTGTTCGAACAGTGAACAATACCCAAAAAGAGAAAACAAACCCAAATACTTCAGAATTGCACAAAACTGACATATTATCTGTGAAAATGTCGTCATATGCAAACCAAGAGAAAAGATCATATGCCTACAGTGTTCTACATGCATCATAACAATATGTCAAATATTTCAAACGGTTTACAATTTTTTTTCTTCTTTTCAAGCCATTCACTTTGTAAACCACGAAATCAAGTTCTAGCAATTTATGCCCAATATTGAATTTCAGTTTCGTATTATTAGTTTATCCTGTCCAGAAACATTTGATTTTAGTTAAATACCATAGACAACAATGAGATTTTACTTACATTGCAATAACATTTTTCATGTAAAAGGAAATTAAAGATATGAAATTAATTATGACTTCACAAGATTATCATCTTTGGTAAAAAGATGTTTTCTTTTTTTTCCAATTTAAAGCATATCCAGACTAAGAGATCTAACAGACATGAAAACCTCAGATTCGGACTCGGAGAATTCATAAAAAAACAATCAAAAGACATAAAGTAAAAGCTGTGGTATTGGATTTAGAAATACAAACCTCACAGCCTCGAAGGCTACCAAGACCTCCTGGACATTGCTCGATAAGGAAGCTCTATAGCTTATAGGCTTCACGATTTGGGTGATGGTGCACACAGGTTTCGGATCCTCCAACTTATTCTTGCAATTCGTATTATTACCAAGAAAATCCGGACATCGAACACTTGTAGTAGGCACAACCGAAGCACCTGCCAAATCTCCATTCAGTGCATCATTCACAGAGCACGATGCTGGATCTTTCTTGAATCGCTTAACACAACCAGATTTCCTCTTCTTAGCTCCGATACAACGACCTAATTGGGCGGGGGCCGCCGCCCCCTCAGGATTTTTTACTCCATTTGCAATTGAATCTCCTTCCGTCATTTTGCCTTCTTGGGAGGCAATCACCAGCCTGTCAGCATCTTTGTTGCTAATCACCATTGCACCCCTTAATTCACAGAGCCTCAAATCTGAGTCGCTTTGCTCCTTTTCTTCCTCTCTTATGACAGAAACTGTTCTTGCACCATTATCATTTGCTTTAACGGAGGTTCCTATGTTGTTCACGCCATTGACATTTATATCCCCATTCACATTTGGACAGCTGGAGTCGTTTGTCCTCGGAAAGGATACAGGCTCCTTGGTGGTCCTGATCACGTGCGAGGGCACGTTATAAGTTGCAACCACAGGAGATCGCTGGTGCGGGTGTGGCTGCAGGTGCGGTTTTTTCTTAGTCTGAACGTGAATTACACCAGCCTTGCGTTTTCTTTTGCGTGTGGGCCTACCTTTTCCGGATTTAAGGCTACAATCAGACAAAAACCACGAGATAATTCAACACCAGAAAAAGGTGAAACGGGAAAAACGTGAATTAACTCTTGGAGATTACATAACCATCACCCTAATTATTTGTTTCGCAAACATACTAGCATTTAAAAGAACAATACTTTATAATAATTTAAAAAAAGAAAAAAGAAAACCTTTCTTCGAATGCATCGATAATATCCGAACACTGCAACAGATTCTCCACAGGCTCCCAAGTATTAGCCGCCTCGGACCAACCTCGCCTTTTCAAAAAACAGCCAGTACATTAATCAGCACAAAAAAAAAAAAACATTATCCACCTCATTTCAAAGGCAATTCAATTTTCCAGACAACACATACATAAACACTCATATCAAATTACTCACCATTTTATGAGATACTGCACTTTACCCTTTTAATTTTGCAGCAATCCAAAATCATCCCCCAAAAAACAGCAAAAAGGCAAAAAATCAGGCAAGTATACTTCAGTAAAATCCTCAATTATACACAAATCTGTTCAGACGGAATTGAAGAAAAACAAAATCAAAATAGAGAATTCACCTTTCGAACGCGTTTTCTGCGTACGGCCTCAATTTCATAGTATCCATCAGCAAGCTTCGTCCTCTCTCCCTCAGCCTCCGCCGCCTCCTCCACTGGTGCGTTGTCCGTCTGCTCGTAGTCCTTCTCAGCATCGGAATCATCCTCTTCTCCGTCTTCCTCCTCAAAACCCTCCTCCGCGGCTTCGAATTTCTCACTCCCCTCGGGAATTAGGCGCCGTTCCTCCTCCGCCACAACGCCGCCGTAATTCACAGACACCACGGCAGTGGTGGCGTCGGAAGGCGGAGGTCCGGAGGACTGTACGGGGTCCGTAAAATTCCTCTTTTTCAGTCCTTTCATTTTCTCTCTCTAAAAAATGGGGTTTCTCTCTCTAGGGTCCGTCCGGCCTGGTGGTTGGTACCCAGGGCTCCAGGCTTTTTCAAAATTTCAGTACAATTTTACTTTTTTTTTTTTTTTTTTTACTTTATCTAATTGACTGGAGAATTTGATTATATAATTATATATATTTATTTCAAAATCTATGCTACTTTTTTTTATAATTATAAGTATTTAAATTATTTTTTTTCAAATGTAGAATAAATTGTCAACGTAATTGAATGCAATATATTTTGTTTGTAGATTACATAATTTACACATTTTCTATTTTTGGTTAAATATTATGAATTAACTTGAAAATTGAAAATAAATTTTGAAGTATTTTACTTGTGAATTTTGATACCAATTTACAACATGTGAAAAATGTGTTTCCAAATAAAATATACAACAATAGAATCTCGATAAATAAATACTCGATAAATAAATAACTTTTCTTAAATAATAGTTTTTTCTGGTCCCGATTCAGTAAAAATCTACTAAATTATTAATTCAATAATTTAACATTTTATTAAATTAATAGAATTTTGTTAGTTTCAATTGTATTAATTTTTTAACTTTGTTGTACTATTTAGACCAACGGTTTAATCAAACAGCTCAAAAATTATTCGAAGTTCAAATACTAGGATAGAGATAATACTAGCAACAATGTAATTATCACATAAATTAATCAAGCAAATAACTTCCTGATAATTACATTAAGACCCAAACAAAAATCTCCTTGTACACGATAGCCCCAACCTTCGCAACTCGATCGCCTTCCTGCAAATTGTTAGCGCGAACAAACTTCATCCATTCCTTTTCCAGAACAATCATATACGAACCTACATTCCACTTCGTCAACTCCATTTCGTAATCCCGATCCTCCGCATGCTGGTCCATCGTAAAAACCCTAAGCCTCTCGCTCCTTTTGAAACAACAAAACCGGGTCGAATCCTCTGTTGTATCAACGGTGGAAGTAGTGGAGCCGAACGCTCTTTTTTCTCTACAAAACGTACCGTATCCTTATATATATTTAACCAACTATTAGAAACAGTACGAAATATATACATAATAAAAATATTATAAACATGTAAGATATTTTAAAGTCAAATTTCTCATTTCATAAATAGCTCTAAGTTCAAGTGTCTACATTATAAAATATGACAAAAGTCAGAATTTTTCATCAAATAACAACATCAAAATTCAAATTCAAATCATTATTTCTAAAAAATAATTTATCCCAACTTGATTAAAGGGTATTCAATACATTAAAATATTTTGGGTTAGTCAATATATATTTTCTCACTACATTACATATTTTCATTATTTCGGGTTAATACATAATATATACTGTATATATAATTATAAATTTTAGATATTTTCAATAAATATTACCACCGCCACCAATTTTGGGGCTTGCAACTAAAATGATATAAAGATTTTTGCCACTAAAATCAAAAATATGTTCCAATCCAATGTTTTGAAAATTACAAAAAAAGGCCAAATGATTTAAAAACATGAAAATTAAACCAGCTTGGTTAAGGGGTTATAATCCCAAAACTTTAGCAAACGTAATTAAAACATAATCAATTAGTCCTAATTAATTGTGTAACACATCCCATTCACATCCCTAATCTTGATTTGAAAGCTCAATCTAAGGCAAGAAATAAACGCATTAAATTAAATATTATTCCTCTATCCACAGAACCTATAAATAAGTAGAGCTCAATCACCACCATTCTTCATCAAACCAACTGAGAAAATTCCAGTTTATTTAATTACAAAATGGCACAAAGTTCATTCTTCTTTTGCATTTTAGCCCTCGGTTTCTTCTTCGGTGCCTCGTACGCCTTCGATCCTCGCCCGCTCCAAGATTTCTGCGTCGCAGACCTCAACAGCACAGGTAATTAATTAAATAATTATTATTTTCATGTATATATGTTTTGATTGGTATTAAAATATTTATTTGTATGGGTCAAAGTGAGAGTCAACGGTCTACCATGCAAGGATCCTGCAACCGTCACAGCGGATGATTTCTTCTTCAGAGGGTTCAAATCAGCTGGAAACACATCGAACCAATACAGCTCGTCTGTGATACCAATGAACGTGGCTCGAGTACCGGGGCTCAACACACTTGGCTTGGGAGTGGCTCGGCTCGACTTCTTGCCAGGTGGCTACCTGCCACCTCACCTCCACCCTAGGGGTACCGAGATCTTGATTGTTCTAGAAGGTCGTCTCGAGGCGGGCTTTGTAACATCGTACCCTAACTACAAACACTACAGCAAGATTCTCGAAAAGGGCGACGCTTTTGTTATACCCGTCGGACTTGTTCATTACTTTAGAAATATAGCCGATAGAGATACGGTGGCGTTTGGAGTTGTGAATAGCCAGAATGCCGGGATTAGTGTCGTTTCGAATGCAATTTTTGGCGCCAAACCGGCGATTAGTAGTGATTATTTGTCCAAGGCTTTTCAGTTGGATAAAAAGATTGTCGAAGAGCTTCAATCCAAGTTCTAGATATTTTAATTATATTAATTGTTTGAGATTATTGATTATGTAATTTAATTTGCAGTGTTTATATTAATCAAATCAAATAAATTGAGCACATTCTTTTGCTCTAATTTGTTAGAGGTAATAATAATGTTTCATTGCATGTATAACTATTAATTAAAAATTGATATTCATTATTTGAGATTATTAGTTATATATGAAATTTAATTTGCAGTGTTTATAATAATAATTATAATATAAAATAAATTGAGTTATTTCTTTTCCTTAATTTGTGTCCCACATATTAATTTTCTTACATAGATATATTATTACTGTACGCCAACTTTTAATTAAAAATTGTTAAGAAAAATTTACAAAAGAAATTATTAAACAGAAAAAAATTAATTAAACAGCTTAATACTGCAATAAAAACCATATGTACTATGATCAAATAATATACTATACTCCAATATAACATATGCCTATTTGATCACAGTTTCAATTGCAATATAATTAATTATTACCAGAAATTAATAACCATGCAATTACTAATTCTTGATAATTGCATTAAGACCCAAATAAAAGACTCCTTGTACACGAAACCCCCAACCTTCGACTCGATCGCCCTCCAGCAAATTATTAGCCCTAACAAACTTCATCCATTCCTTTTTCAGAACAATCATATACGAGCCCACATTCCACTTCGTCAACTCCATTTCGTAATCCCGATCCTCCGCATGCTGGTCCATCGTAAAAACCCTAAGCCCCGAATAGTAATCTTCGTCATTCACCATTCTCCGTTCTTCCTCCGTTAGAGCTTCCACCAGCTTCTCACTCCGGTTTATGAATACCCGATTCAAACCCGGATTCACATCCGAACATGTCAAATCCTTTTGGAACAAGAAAACCGGGTCGGATCCTCCTCGATCTTGGATCCTCCGCTGCATCGGTGGTGGAAGTGGTGCTGGAGGATCTTGTTCTTTCGTAGATAGTTTCTTTTTCGATCTTCTTGGAATCGGTTGCGATTTTTTCTTGATCTCCTTATTAGTAGCCCTCGGCTCGTAGATTACGAGAGCTTGTGAATTGTTACAACCATCTTCTTCGAATAACATCGGATTAAAGATATTCCGCGAATCATCATCAACCTTTTCTAATTCTAATTCTTCGACAACTTTTTCTTTTCCCTTTGCCTTCCTTCTCCTCTCCCAATCATCATCGTAATTATCGTAATCATCGTTAACTACGTCGCTAATCCCAGTAATTATATCTGCTCCAAACAATCGGAAACTCGAGATTTTCATCTTCTTATTCATCTGATCATGTTGATCAGTTTCTTGATCAACAGTAGTAATAGAACTACGGTCCCTCTTCCAAGAAGGGGAAGAACAAGAAGAAGAAACCCTAGTTTTTGAATTATTAATCTGATCAAGAAACAAGATTTGATCATCTTCTTCTTCAAGGCAATGATTTTTTGTGGGGGTTTTTTCATCAGCACAGAAATCAATTTCTTTAAGAAAAGGATTACTTCTGAAAAGAATTAATCTTTTCGGCTTTTGATCATCCCAGAAATCGATTTCTTGAACGATCTTCATCATCGAGTAATTAATTAGGTTTGTTAAAGTGGAGATAGACAGGGTTTTGCATGTATTTATATTTGTATACATATACATGTATATATTAGTGTATGTATAGTCGGAACAAGGTAACTTGCAGAAGTCGTATTCAAATTAAGGAAACGACGTCGTATTGTCAACAATTAGGAAAGTTTTAAGCCAACTCAGTATGAACGAGTTAATTAAATCAAATTAACTATTATAGAATCTTTCCTAATATAATTATTAAATTATATTATATTGATCACTTATTTATTTTGGACGAGTTTACTGATACTATTAGATTTTGTATCCTTTAATATAATTATTAAAATTTGAATTTCGTTTTTCAATTTGTTAACAATAAATTGGACGGGAATATAAATATATTTTGTTTCTCAATTATAGAAAAAGGGATATAAAAGAAATTACCTTATAATTTTGCAAATAGACATATTTTTTCAAAATACCTTTTTTACCCCTCATTAATAATTAAAAAATATTCATAAGTAGTCAAGTTAGCTCCCTAGAGATAAAATTAAATTTAAAGAAAACAAAAATTCTATGAGAAGTTGTCACACTTGCTCTAGTTTTGTTTATGTCTCTCGTAGAGTTTACAAAATATTATAAGTATAAATTTATCCAATATACCTATACGGTTGACTGCAAATTATTTCATTACCCAGAAAAAAAAAGTAGTTATTATTTGCATTTGAGTTAAAATTAAAAACAGGGGTTATTTTACATATCCCCCTAGCCACCAAATAAACTAGAGATAAACTCAAGCCCAAATCATCCTTTGACATACCGCCCTGGAGAAGCGAAAGTACTATACAATTTTCGGCCAAACTGCATTCAGCAGTTCTGGTCCTGCATTTATCATTTTCGTTGATTTATTTATTATTATTTTCCTTTTTTTTAATAATAAACATGTTTGTTAAATTTATATATATATATATATATATATATATATATATATATATATATATATATATATATATATATATATATATATATATATTATATTAATTTTTTTGTTTTTTTAATTTTCTAAACAATATGTTTACTGTACTGAAAATAACTACATGTAACTATAGTAAATCGCAGTTATGTTCGTTTTTTTTCCCCATATTTTTAGTCGATCAATCGTATACGCACACGAATACTGGCTTATACAAAGGAAATTCATAAAACCCCAACAAAAATTTACAAATTTCAATATTTTTAATATAAATCACCTCACAACCAATAAAATACAAATCGAAAATACACAAATATACGCATATGTAACTACATGTTACTATAGTAATGTATAGTAATGTACAGTAATGTATACAGTCTGATGAACAAAACAGATGTAACTTCAAACAAAAATTTTGACACCCTCAAGGAAATGAGCAATGGCCTTCATTAAGCTGCAATTGCAAAATCAAAACAAAAAAAAATTACTTTAGTGCAAATCAACAAAATTTGAAGAAACATCAAAACACTCAAAAATCAACAAACACTAAGAGATCAAGAGATAGAGAGAGAGAGAGAGAGGGGTTATTGCTGGGAAATGCTACATATTTTAAATCAAACAGACAGTGACTCTTCACCCCCTCGCCTCCTACCAAAACCCTAAGCGCCGCTAATAACCACCCATAGTTCCGCGCCCCCACAAATGCAAACAATTATAGAAATAAATCTGAGAACATAAAAACAACGAAATTACCATCAAAATATAGATCTCGACGAGAGGAATCCAACAGTGGGTAGCCCGTCAAATTTCGAAGGGTGGAACACAAAATACACCTCCGGCAAGATCACCGTCGTCGAATGAAAAAAAATTGCAGAAACAGATCTGCGCTCCAAACTGAATGAAATCACCACCAACAGAAAGAGCTTGACGAGAGGAATCCAACAGTAGTTAAACCATCGAATTCCGACGACCGGAGAGAGAGTTATGACTCCGAGAAGCAATTTCGCCGGTGGGAGGTTTGTGGAGACAGGATTTTGAATTTGGGAGAAGAAGAGAGAGACCGAAATGTGAGTGCTAGGGTTTAAAACTGATTTTAGAATGGTATTATAGGAACTTTAGAGTGGCCCAGAGGGGTATGTCAAAATATTTTCGAAATAAGGGGAGTTTCTCCTAGAGTATAATCCACTTGGTAGTTAGTTCTATATAATTTGGAAATGAAGAGGTTACAAAATAATCCCTTAAAAAAAATATCTTACCTTTACTAAAGTCTGTCGAACATTATCATTTCAGTATAGTAACAATTTTGAAATAAAAATATGACTAAGATGCAATAGTGTTTTTTCCATATTCCCCAGTTCTTGCATAAAAAAAAAAAAAAAAAAAAAAAAAGGAGAGATAGAGAGAAACTAAATATATCCACAGTTTACAAGAGAGAAGCTAATGTCTAATCTAATATTTTACATCAAAATTAAATAAAGAACAAAAACCCATCCACCTACTAAATTACTTAACTAAAAAATAATCAAAATGCTGGAAGATTGTATAACTTAACTATGGCATTAGTACAGGGACTCCTAAATCAATCTACATTTTTACCATATTCATAAAATAGTTAGATACAACCATCCAAATCTTTGGCTCGAAAATACAACCATCGCATCCTTATTCTCTTTCCAATCCTTGTCCGTGTAAGAAGCGACCACCCTCATCTGTCACAAGGGAATCCAAAAGGAAAAGAAAAGTTACGAGCATATTGTGTACTGGAGCAAAACAAGAACTTCCGTTTTTTGGCTCATCAATTGCATTTAAAGAAACGAGAAGACCCGATAAAATCGGAATAATTTAACTGTTTATATAGCAAACGAGGAGTACTCATCTCACAAGTTATCCAACGGTCAATAATCAAAAGCAGAAATTAAAAAAAAAATTAAAAAAAAATAAAAAAAAAAAAAAAAAAAAAGCAAAAAGCATACCACTTTCACCGTCGGATAATTCTGAGAGCCTTGAAATGGCATCAGTAAGTGCTAGTTCATGCTCCTACCGAAAAACACAAATCATCAACTTTTTTGACAAGAATATATATACAACATATATATATATATATATATATATATATATATATATATATATAGAGAGAGAGAGAGAGAGAGAGATAGATATAGAAGCAAATAATAAATAAAAAACAAAGTAAATCCCAACCTTCAGCACTCTCTTTGCCTTCTCTACCTCCACAGGGTCGATTTGATCAGCACTAAAAACCCTCTCCACCTAACAAGATCCAAATTCAGTTAACAAAGCACCACATGCATGTACGTATGCACGTATATATCTGTGTGTATGTATATATGTGTGTGTGTGTGTGTGTGTGTGTGTGTGTGTGTGTGTGTGTGTGTGTGTGTGTGTGTGTGTGTGTGTAAACTAGGACAGGTATTGCATACCTCCTTAATTAAGGTGTCAGTATGAAGCAATTGGATGTCGTCGGCACCCTGCTTTCCGACCCCATTCTGAGAAGGCGGAAAGCCTTTCCTGGGTTGACTCTTGGTCAACCCTCTTCCTCTTCCGGAACCTGGACGCCTAATCATCCCATTGCCGGGCCCACCATGACGAGATATTCCAGGGTCTTCACCTTCCCATTGTATATCTTCCGGAGCCATCTATTACAGAGAACACATACCAACGAAATCAGGACAATATGAAATGCTTGAATTGCTCCTCTATAATGACTCACATTGACTGGAGCATTAAATACAATTAATGAATCACTAAGATACAATTAAATCCATTAATTATATAGCATAGAAACTGAATGCATATGTTAAATCACGTGTTAATATAAATAAACACATCCAAAATGATCAAACTGTAGGATAATAAGGACGAGAATAAATGCATGTAGCTACCTCAGATAAGTTGACCCACTCCCATGTTTCGTTTGGAGTATTCATGTCGTAAACAAGATTATGTACACCCTGGGAAAAAAACCACAGAAATAACCAACTCAAGAACTAACAAAATCGAGCAAAAAATGAAGTCCGTAAAATACGAAAAGATCGATATATACCTCAATTGGATTATAATTAGTTATCACAGCCTCGTAAAAACTATTATCGTCAGGCCATCTAGTTCTAACTTTCCTTCCAATCAACGAATCAAACGAACCCCCTTCTGCAAATTCATTTGCAAGACCACCCGAAGGAACGCGGGTCCCAAATCTACCCCTGCCAGCTGGACCAGGAGGACCCTGCATTTTCATCGAAGATGAGCCAGGTGGCATCTGAGCAGTTAAAAAATCGAACATTAGCACTAACAGATGTGTAGTATATAGTACATTCCGAATTAAATTCCGATTTTTTCTTAATAGACTCACGGGTTTATGTTTTTTGCCCTTTGGAACCATCATGGGGGGGCCACGCTTTGCTGCTGACGAGGAAGGCTGATTCGGCTGAGGCTGAAAAGGTAATGAAGGGGCTAATTTCTGCTTTTTACGAGAAGCTGATATGGAAGGACTGGGCAATGCATCGTGGCTTGTACCATGAATGCCAGGCTGGACCCCACCTTGTCTTCTCCATTCCCTATAAACAGTATTTTTTTTTTCAAAGAAAATCGTAAGATGAAGAGGTATCATTTTTACAAATTAAAGAACGGCTTATTTTATATAATTTTATATAATAAAACCTTATTGTACTGATTGTCTCGTCCACATTGACCCTGCTGAGAAGATCCCTGTGCTCCTCGTTCGATAATCTCAACTCTTTTCTTAGCTCAGTTATTAAACTTTCCTTCTCCTGAAAAAAAAAAGACATTTTTTTTATTGATGAGACGTGTTTAGATTCATGTGAAAATTGATTTGTTCTGCAAACAGTACCCAAGAAATTGCATCAGCTTGAGCTTTGAAAGCTCGTAGAATCGAACAGTATGCTTCTTGCTCGATTTGGTGGATTTTGGCTTCCATGTCAGCATCATCGTACATCCTAGTATATGGGACAGAACCAATGGGAGGAGGTCTTCCATTACCAGAAATACGGCCACCTCTCGACATTCTATTTTGATTTTGATGTGGTGGGGGAAAATCATCATCAGTTCCTGCAAAAACACAAAAACGAAAAACAATGAGAGGACATAAAAAAATATACATTTTATACAAACCCCTGAAAAAACCTAACAAGCAGAAGCAAATTTAATCGGATGCTGTCAAAAAAATTCACACAGTTACGAATATCAGAGTATATTTATTCCATGCCACACGAGAATCACGATCTTCGATACAAATATTTAAAGAATAAGACAAATATTTGTTATTAGCGACAAACTCCAATGTAATTCAGCACAATTAAAATTGATTATCCCAATACTGCAACACTCTTTGGATCAGAGGGGTTAAGAGAGTGCAAGGTAGTCCGACTCAATCTACAAATTTCAACGAATCAAAGTTCCGACATTTCCAAAAAAAAAAATCAAGTTAATAAATAGCGAGAGAAAGGTGATCCAGCCAAAATTCATCTATCCAGACAGAAATGTAAGAAAAGCCAAAGTTGCATGTAGTAAGCGCTCGTGAAATGCAATTAATTTTCACATCAGCTGGAAGGGTTTCAGTAATACGTGGAGTAGGAAACACTATTAAACCCCACGAGTCTAACATTTTGCAATATTACCATTAAGCATAATCATTCATTGAAAACGGTCCCACCCCCTAGCTAAATTGCCAATTATTACTCAAATATAGCCGAATTCTGTTTTCCGAAAAGAATAAAGTCCAGAATATTGATAAGGCTATAAGATTTCTACTCCCTAAACAAGCGGCGCTAATTGGACCTTTATCGAGTACCAGGATCTCGAATCGAATCTTTTGGCCGGATGATCTTGAATCGAATTTAAAGCAACCGACAGGGGCAAACCAGTGATATACAAGTGTATGCAAGATTCTTATCAGCGAATGGTGGTTTAATATCTCCAAACAAATTTATAACCTCGAAAACTTCAATTTTTCGAGAAGAACATACAACTATTTCGAGCTACCGTTATCAAAGTTCACTATAGTAACCACCAAATCAAGCCAAAATCGAATTGGGCACGAAAACATCAACCTAAGGTCCCAAATTTGTTCCCTACAAAAATTACTTGTAAACTTACAGAACATAGTGGAAATTGAAAAATTGAGCAGAAAATTCAGTGAAATTGACTATTTGGGGATGAAATCAAGAACCTATACCCCAAAACCTATTAATTCCGTGATTAAAAATCCCATCTATTGAAACTTCCCTAACAAAACAATGCATGTAAAATCACAAACCCTAACACAAAATTTCACTCACAAACCCTAATTCAAAATTTCACTCACAAACCCTAATTCAAACAAAAAATTACTACAAAAAACCTAAATTACTGGGCAAATTGGACTCCTCGAAGGAATCGCTCACCGCTACTGTCGAACGGTTCGTAATCCATAGCCACGTTTCGCAGAACAAAGATTCCCCAAAGCTAACGCAGCTGAAAAAACGACGGAAACCCCAAAAAAGCAAGCCGCGAAGAAACCGCAGCGGCGGCGCAGGAAATCCCTAGCAAAAAGATGCCAACTTTGTCGTGTTGCCGCAGCAGAAAACGAGAAGCAGCTGCGATCGATTTTTTTTTCTCTCCGGCGTGATTTTGCCTGGATTCGAGTTTGTGTTTAGGGGTACGGACGTGAAAAGTGTTTATGGAATCGGGTTAAGAGTGAAAGGGTTTGAGGTCCGCCTTTGTAGTTTGTTGTTTTCTTGTTCGAAATTGTTTCTGCCTCGCCCCAGAAGAGATTCCCACACGTGCGGAATTGGAAAAGGATGGAGGCTTCTTGTTCTTATGTATTGTTTCTATCATTCGATCTCAATATTATTAGGGTAAAATTATTATTTCCAGAAATACAAAATAAAAAATTTGTGAGCTTTAAATTAATATATGTCTTTTTTTATTTATAATTTAAAAACATTTTCATTGAATATATATTAATTTCAATATACTATCTTTTAAAATAATAGATTTTATTTAATTGACCCAACAAGAGAAACGATTCTATTTTCCATTAGATTTTGTTCAATAATTGACCCCCAAAAAAAATTATATTAATAAATAACAAGTTGCATGAACTTATACAAATCAAATAATGACATTTCTATGTAGTAAAAATCGTATTAATTAATTTGGAACATCTTTATGAGTGACGGAGTCAGCATAGGACCCATAAGAGGCTATTGTCTCCACAAAATTCTCGAATTCCTATTTTTCAATTAAATGTTAAAAGAATTGTGTACCCCCCCAACCCACCGCATAGTAGTTTGGGCAAATGACGATCGTGAGTTATGGTCAAATTACAAAAATTCCCCTCATTGTTTGGGTAATTACAGTCACCCCCTCAACTATGTATTATTTTACGAAAATACCCCTCCAGAGGTAAATTTAGGGATGTTAAATCGGTTAAACCGAATCGAAATTCTGGTACGCCAACATTTCATACTGTTTACCGAACTGAATATACGATTTGGTTCGGTAAATAACCGAATTACATAAATTTTATGTAAAAATATTTAAAAGGAGGGGTGGCTGTAATTATCCAAACAAGAGGAGTTTTTTTGTTATTTGATCATACCTCAGGGGTGGCCGTAATTCGGCCCCAGCTAACTTAAAATTCTGGCTCCATTAGTGATCTTTATATAAATATAACTAAGTAAACTAACCACACCGTCTCCCAAAAGCTATAAGCGTATTTTATTTACTACCGTTGTTTCATTAAACTTACAATTAGTCGCGTAAATATATAATACACCAAGTTAAGGACACACAATAAAATTTTATCATTCATTTACACAGACCGACATAGATGTTCGCGCGTGTGTTTATTTCACGAACGAATGAATAATATACATCAGAAAAAAACCGACGAGGTCCGTGACATACTTCATTCGACGTAGTTAGAGAATGGCTATATATCACTATATGGATATTTATTGCACAAAAAAACCATTAATTAAACAAAAGAATAGGAAATAATCACTTGAAAATTTGTCAAAGAATATGATTAATTAATTAATATATATTCTAATAATTAACAAAAATGCTAATTAATCAAAAGCTTCTATTCCTGATAAGTTATTCTGAAGTTGTGTTCAGTTGGCATTTTATCATATTCTGAAGCTGCTTTGCTTGTTCTTCAATCCTCATCTGCAACTTCTTTTGACTCTAAAAAAAATTAAATTAAACAAAATAAATGAACATTAATTGAAAATGTAACACAAACAGTATAATTAAAATAAAAGGAAAAAAGAAATAAATAAATTGATGATAATTAAACCTCTAATTGTTCGTAAAGGCTTCGTTGAACATCCATTTGTAATCTCTGCTCCCCCCTGTTTATAAATATATATTGTGTCAATTAATTAAAGTAGTAATTAATTAACGATTAATTAATTAAAACATGGAGTAATTAACGAATAATTAATATCAATTGTGCTTACGTTTTTGAGTCGTCGAGCTGCTGCTGCTCAGCATTGCCTGCATGCATTATTAGGTACAAATCATTAATTAATTAACTACTAAAATTATTACTAGCTAAGATAAGTAGTATAAATTACACTACAAGATTTGTTTAAATTTGAGGCCCGACTCGCAAAAAATATATAAACTCAGATTCCCTCCCAACTAGGAATGGCAGCGGAGCGGGTACCCTCGAAAAAGTGCAATACCATAACCATTAGCATTTAATCTAGCTCAAACCATGACCATACCAAACTCATTTAAAAAGTTAATGGAAATACCAGAACCATTACCACGAATATCCGGGTACCCACGAGTACCCATTTACCATTTAAATTACTATAATAAAAAATAACTTTGGATTCGATAACGTTTAAGTAACTCTAAAAAAAAGGGGAAGAAAAAAAGAAAAGAAAAAAAAACTATACAAATATATCCTCCCTAATGTGTTTAATATTTTATTTAAAATTTTGCCAAATTCTTTTACCAAAACCATTACCAAACCCTAATGGTTTCGGTAACGGGTTTTAAACGGATCCGATACCCGCGGATAGCTAGCGGTTCGGGTTTTTTTGCCATCCCTACTCCCAACCCGTCTTAGCTTACACTCAGACCCGCCTCGATCAAGACCTGAATTAAACGGTTATGACCGGCTAGATCCATTAACATTAAATAAAAAATTGACCAGTTTTCTAACTTTCATAATATTTTGCTTGTATATTTTAACAAAAGAATCTCAAAATTAAAATGCAATATTTTACAAGTGATATAAAGTGATTAATAAACTTGTCAAACTAATTATATTTTAATTAATTATATTCAAAAGGCAAAACCGCTAGCGGTAGTCGGGAGGTAATAGGTATGAATTGCGAGAAATTATATATATTCAAAAAATTGAAAGGATGAGAAAAGGGATAAATGAGAATAGGTACGAAGGAAATTGAAATTTTGATAAAGGAAATCGAAAATTAATACATATATTATGATTTTTAAATATAATGGATTTATACGGGTCGGTTTCAATAAGACCCGTAACCCGACACATAACCATCCGGTTCTAGAAACTAAAATCCATTACCCGATTTATAACCATTTAACTTACTCAAACCCGGCTCAAACGGGTCAGTTCCGGTCTAAGACCCGACAAACCCATACGTATTGCCATCCCTAAAAAAAGGGTAAAAAAAATCCGACTTTAGGAAGCATCGAAAAAAGCGTCAAGAATCCTAATAAATTCTAGTATTAATTAAATTAAATTTCAAGAATCCTAATAAATTTCGTGTTTTCGATACATTTGATGCATTAAATGTTATCGGACCAAAACGAGCCTAGCTACGATACTCTGATCGTTACAGATTTTAGCGTACCTTCCGTTGCTTCTGGCGTTAGTCGAGCAAATCGATACTTCTGCGAAAAATATATATATATATATATATATATATATATATATATATATATATATATATATATATATATATATATATATATATATATATATGCAAGAACTAAAACATTTTAATTATGTTAAACCTGTAAATGGCTTTTAATATGAAAAATGGTCAATCCATTACACTTCATTAGCTTAAGGATTTCCTTTGGTGTTGCCTCTGCATTCATTACCATCCAAGAAAAAAGAAAATATTAATAATGTGAAAATATAAATTAAATAAATAAAAATAAATTAATTAATAATTAGTGATGATCGATAGCTAGTACTTACTTCTGGCTCCTCCTAGACGTTTTACGCAGTCGATAAATTTCTCGTCGAGTTCCTTAGTCCATTTAATTCTCGATTTCTTCTTCTTGTTCGTAATTGCCTCTTTTCCCGATACAACAACCTTAATCGAACCAAATTTTATTGTCGTCCCGTTATCAAAATTAATTTGAGGCTGCTCCTTCTCTATCTGACAATTTTCTGCCTGCCATATTATAATTAACTCGAAAAATAATTAAGTAGTACTTATGTGGAATTATATATATAATGAATTAATTGATTAACTAATTACTAATACTCACATTAATGTTGTTATTGAAACTTAACATAGAGCACGAATTTGATATTGTAGCATTGTTGTTTCGGTGCTTGCATTCTTGAATAACGCCCTTCTCGACCGTTAGATTATTACCGCAATAACAAGATTGAACGATCGATTGTAAAGTGTCGCCCGATTCAATTTTTTCGCGATGCGGAGAATTATTATTATCGGCGGGATCTTTCAACGGCCTATACGAGTATAGGTAGTCATGATCGTCTGCATAAGAGATCGGATCGGAAATTTTTATTATAGATCTAAATTAATTCTGGAGACTTTTGTTATTTAAGCAGTCTCTAACAGGGTTTCTAAAATAATAATAAAAATTAATACATATATGAATGAATTACATTTTGAATTTTATAGCAGCGTCGAAGATCGACGGCGTTGACTAACCTGATAAAATCGCGGGCCCGACATTTTGATGCCGTCGTCTCATTTCTTCGTCTTGTTCTTCGAAGATTGCCGGTAACTGAGGGTGCACGCAACTATCCTGCGGCGGCGAACTAGTGGAATAGTAACTTTGAAATTCAAAAAATGAATTACTAATTCTGAATGATCCTAAGTTGTTACATTGAACACCAATTTGCTCATTGATGTTCATTTTTTTTTCTTTTTCTTTCTCTCTCTCTTTTTTTTTTGCAAATTAACAATGAAAATAAATGATGAGAAAATATATATGCAGAAAAGGAGTTAGGGCAAAACGACAAACGACAATACTATATTATATTATATTACCAAAGTTCATGAAGTAGGAGAATGAACCAATGAGCACACATGTGACAAGAAAATGTCAACACATTTTCCTACATATGTTGTCATTTTCATTTTTAATTAATAATTAATTAATATATGTATGGGGATGAAAAAGGACAAAAAAGAAAAAGAAAAAAGAAATTATCAACACAATGAGGATAATGTTTAAAGAAAATCAACTAGCTAAAGAATATAAATTGTGTGGACTAAGTCTAGTTTAGAAGAATAATCACTATTAGTAATTAATAAGATAATATAGTACAAGATTCTTTTAGATAAATGAGGTTCGATAAATTAAAATTATCTCAAACGGAGTGTCGTCATAATGTCGACAGTGGCGATTTCAGGATTTTTTTTCTTTTACTAATCTTTCACGACTTGAGAGGCCGCGTCCCTGGAAGTATTTTTATTAATATTTATAGAATAAATTGCATAAAACAAGTTTAAATAAAGTTATATATGGATTGTTATAAAGAGATTTAATTGATGTGGTTAAATAAATTGTAAAATATACATAATCCATTTGACTATTACATGTCATACAAAGAGAAAAGTTCATACTTGGTCTTAATCACTAAAATTACAGTAATGTTTCATTTAATCTTTATGTTGCATGGCCCATGCGTTGTAATAGAAAATGAATTTTATATTAAACAGAAAATGATTAAAATAAATATAATCATTAGGAAGAATAGTTCTATTTTTTTGATGTGGACAAGTGGAAAAATATTTGCCGCGAGAATAAATTGAAAGGGTGTTTGTGTGAGAATAAATATTCTATCGGGGTTTATTTATAATTATGAAAAAGATTGTGCCTCTCTCACATAACCTTCCAATTAGCAAAGGGCCGGTTGATATACATCCACTTAATTCATTGGGCCCAAGGGCTCGTACCTCGTTGGCCCATCAGCTAGGTACTAACATTATGTGCACATATATTTAGGGTAAATAACACTTACACCCCCTCGTGGTTTGGACTTTATGCACAACACCCCCTTGTACTTTCAATATAGCAAATGAACCCCTTATATTTTAATATAAATACATAATCCCCTTTTATTTTTACAAACTTCTTCTTTCTAATGAATATGATTATTTGCCAAATGGAATACAATAGGGAACATTATGTTTGAATTAAAAGTACAAGGAGTCATCTGCACAAAGTTCAAACTATAGAGGTGTCATATGCCTACATTGAAAGTACAAGGGCGTCATGTGCACAAAACTCAAACCACAAAGGGGTTAAGTGCTATTTAACCTATTATTTATGATAAATAGCACTTGACATCCCTGTGTTACAAGCTTTTGCAGATGACACCACTGTGCTCGTAATATCTGTAAATAACCCTCTTATGGTTTATGGGGTAGCTTTCGCAGTTTTTCGTCAAACTTAATCGCATGTCCCAAACTTCAAAGTATTTTCTTTTTATTTTTACAGATGAACCCTTTGTGCTTACATTTTCCCTCTAATTTTTACAGATGACCCCTTTAAAGTTTGACGGAAAAACTAACGGAAGCTACCCCTAAACCACAAGGGCTTATGTGCTGTTATTACGAGCACAAGGGGATCATTTGCAAAAACTTGTAACCACATGAAGGTTCAGTGCTATTTCCCTATTATTTATTACATGTTTGCAGTCATTAAGAAGTACGATCAAAGTAGGTTCTTACAATTTTTTCTTTGAGAGATATATCTCATTGTGAAAAAATACCCTTAAACATCCATGTCTATAGGCTCGTTCGGTTATTTACATCGGATTTGTTTGGATTAATTTTCTACTAACTAATTAACATGTAGTTTGAATGATAAAAAAATATCTCCGACCCTAAAATTGTTCAAGCCACCAATCTTGTTTTAATCTTCTGGGAAAAGGGTACCACAAATTTAATGAAATATTTGTATTTAATAATGAACTTTGATTTTAGTATTGCACTTGAAAAAGTACAAATATCGTTAACCGAGACCATATTTTATTTTCCTTTAAAAAAAAACTAGCATTTTTTCCCCGTGCGATGCACGGAATATTATTTAAAATTTGGAAAAAATAATTAATTTAATACATAATAAGAAAATATAGTACATAGTAAAATTTAATAATGTAGTAATATTCATATTATTTATAACATTAGTTTTTTTTTTTAATATTGCAGATTAAAATTTATAATCCAATATATAACTAATATTTAACAAATCGAATTTCTATTTTTATCTCTTAAGATTTGAAATATATTGATGAAAAATAGGAGATTGATAATTATTGAATATTATAGTAAAAAAATAGTAGAATATAACTAATATTTAATAAATCGAATTTCTATCTTTATCTCTTAAGATTTGAAATATATTGATGAAAAATAGGAGATTGATAATTATTGAATATTATAGTAAAAAAAATAGTAGAAGAAAATATTAAAAATAAATAATTACCGAAAATCATTAGGGTTTTTTGGGGTTGCCAAACGTTTCTTTTATCTCTTTGAAATATATTGATGAAAATAGGAGATTGATAATTATTGAATATTATAGTAAAAAATTATTAAAAATAAATAATTACCGAAAAACCATTAGGATTTTTTAGGGTTGCCAAGCGTTTCTTTCTTTTATATATAAGATAATTATGTAATTTAAGTTTTCCAAAATATAAAGAAGAAAAGAAAACAGCAAACGGCGCCGTTTGGTCTTGCAATAAATACAAAACCCTAAAACCCCCTTAAACCCAACACTTCCATCATCTCTCATCAAACCTCTCTCTTCAGAGCAACTATGGCGGAGGAGGAACCAGAGCAACAACCCTCGCCGCCTTCAGAAGACAAACCGCAACCCAATTTATGCGAAGAGTGCAACACCAATGCGTCAAAGTACAAGTGCCCCGGCTGCTCTCTCCGCACGTGCAGCCTCACCTGCGTCAATTCCCACAAGCTACGCACCTCCTGCACCGGCAAAAGACCCCTCACCGATTTCGTTCCGATTTCAAAATTCGACGATAATCTCCTTATTTCAGGTGATTAATCAATTTTTTTCTCTCTCATTAAAAATGGTGGCTTTTGATTTTTAGGGTTTCGAAAGTTCAATTCAAATGCTAATTTAATGAAATGCTGATGGAATATTCTTTATTTGCCCAATGAATGTATCTAAATGTTTCATGATCGGCAACGCGTTCGATTTCGTAGAGTTTTTAGCCTTTCCTTTAACTAATTAGTGATTGAAAAAATATTTTCAGAAACTGGAATTTCGTGTTTTGAAGTACTATTGAAATGAATAGATTTGTTATTAAGTTTTCGATCGTTTTTTGCGTAGATTACAAGATGCTCGAAGAAGTGAAAAGAATTGCGGATTCAGCGCAGCGAACGAGAGTTAAGTTATGTGGGAACTATCAATTCAGGCTTCCGTTTCACCTCAAAAGTCTCAAGAATGCTGCTTTAAGTCGTAGAACGAAGCTGCTGTTTCTCTCTAATGGAATGTCTAAGAGAGAAACGAATCAGACTTATTACAACAACCGGTAATTAGTTATTTCCGACATAACTAGGTTGTACTTTATATAGACTCTGTTTTTTTTTTGTTGCCAGGATAACTCAATTCTCCTCACGTTTGTTTGCAGGAAGAAATTCATATCTTGGACAATCGAATGGAGGTTTCATTTAACTGAAATTGTATTGGTTGATCACGGGTGAGGACTCTTTGACTAGTCGAATCTTTTTTCGAGATTCATTTTTTTTTATATGCAATCATCACATGAGTTCTTTTCGATGCAGAGTAAACGAGAATACAACTCTTTCGTCTCTGATTGAAAATCATCTAAAACCCGGACCATGGAACCACTCATTGAGGCCATTCTGTGACGAGAACCTCGATTCTCTCAAATTTTTCATTCGCAAATATCCGAAGGTTTTTTTTTTTTTTTTTCCTGCGTTTACAATCTTTTTTTATGTTTCTTCTTTCAAATCTTAACTTATCCCTTTTGTGCATTCCTCTAATTTTTCTTCACTCCATACAGGGAGTAAAATCGCCTTACCGACAACTAAACATAGAAGCACCAATTCGCGAGCAGTTGGCGAATCTTGTTATTTTGGAGTACCCCGTAATTCACGTCTATTTACCCTCACACACCTACGATTTCGATGTAATAAAGGACATTATTCCAAGAAAAGTGGAGATCAAGAAGTCCGATAATCACGATTTTCCTAATCATCAAGGTGTGACATTTAAGGAGGAAGAAATCGAAGATGTGGGTCATCCAGACACTCAAGTTTCGGATCTCTTGAACTACGATGCCAATGAATCGGAAGGGGCAAAACAGTCCGAACCAGCTTCTCAAGATGATAATTCAAACTTCGCGATAACTGAAGATAGTAATGGCGTACCGAGTGACTCATGCATTGAGCAATTAGTTGCTATTGGTGATTTTGACTTCGAACCGGGCTCGGTTGACTTTTGCCCGGACCTTATTGGAGATGATAGCACTGACGACTATCTTGATTTTGATGCGATATTATTGGCTGAGCAGAAGTACATGGAGGGTGGAGCATATGTCATGGACGAAGAACCAGAGGAAGGAGAGTTGAGTAGTTGACGTTCTTTTTGCAGCTCGGAAAGAAAAGAAAAAAACCGAATAGAAAGGGCTAAATATTGCTATATCTTTAATCGTATACTCGGTGAGTTGGTGTTTGTTTGTCTGTACAAAAAAATTCTATTACTTGCATATGAAAACCGAGTGCAATCATGTTGAGCCTTACCTGCATTTGCTTGACTGCTGTTTCTGGTGATTGATGATATTACTATGGATACCCGCAGATAAAAAAATCAATTTTTTATCGTTTTTTTTTTTTCAGAATGCAAAATAACAAATTAAATTGTTATTTTTTTCAACCTCCAACCTAATTTCTAACGCACAAACTGCGAAAAAATAAAAATCACACCGAGTTATTAAAAACAATTATATTTTCTTACAAAATAAAATAAAATAAACTTTTATCACTAAATTATTCGATTGATGAGTTATTTATTGCAACGGCTGGAAAGATTAGGCAAAACTATTTGGAATAAATATGATTTTTAGGTAAAAATATTTGGAATAAATATGATTTTCAGATATCTTGATCACGAAATAGTTGAATGATTTTTTTTCGTAAAATATGTATTTGATAAAAAAAAATTTAAATATATTGATGAGATGTATTTTTATTCTTGTACAATTTTAAAATAATTGATGAATAAAAAAAAGATTTGACATTTGTCATCCTAAAATATACCGCTAAAAATATTAAATTACTTTTATTAGCTTTAAAAATCATTTGGCGTGCATTTGGCGTCCATTTTGTAGAAACATGCGAAAATGAGTTAAAACCTAATTCTAATGTATCTCGGAATTTGAGAAGTAACACAACTGACGGAATCCTCATCTGAAGTTTCTATGAATTGATATGATTTTTTTAAGAATTTCCTAAAATAATAAAATTTGATATTTGTGAGTCGAAAAGACGTCGGATCACTGAAATCTTACACAATCATGAGCTACGGTCATGAGTTTGGTTGGTTGAGCTGTTTGCTTTGGATAGGGTTGTTAACGTACAATTAAAACTAAAAAAAACCTTAATAAGTTGGGAAAAACGACCATTTTGCTGAAAAAATGCATAAATGTGGTGAACCAAAATTCTGTTAGATTTCGCGATATTAATAAACACCCGATAATGACAGAATCATTATCGGGTACGGTTTATATGAATTGATATGAATTTTCTAAAAGTTTCCTAAAATAGTAAAATTTGATTTATATGAGTCGAAACGAAGTCGGATCACCGAAATTTGACGCGATTCATGAGCGAAGCTCATGAGTTTTGTTCGTCGAGCCATTTTGCTAGGGATAGGGTTAACGTGCTATTAATACTAAAAAAAACCTAAAAAACCGGGATAACGACCATTTTACAGAAAAATGAGAAAATGAGTGAAAACATAATTCAAATGTATCTCGGAATTTTAGAAGTATAACAAAAACTGACGGAATCCTCATCTAAAGTTTCTATAAATTGATATGATATTTCTAAAAAAAAATCCTAAAATAGTAAAATTTGATTTTTGTGAGTAGAAAAGGTGTCGGTCACCGAAATCTTACGCGATTCATGAGCTACGGTCATGAGTTTCGTTGGTCGGATCGTTTGCTTGGGATAGGGTTGTTAACGTGCAATTAAAAAAAAAACCTTAATAAGTTGGAAAAAACGACCATTTTGTTGGAAAAATGCGAAAATGAGTTGAACCAAAATTCTATTAGATTTCGCAGTATAAGAAACAACCCAACTGGCACAAACATCATCAAATGTTTATAGAATCTACATAATATATCTGAAATCTGACGTGATTCATGAGCAAAGCTCATGAGTTTTGTACGTCGGGACGTTTTGCTTGGGAAAGGGTTGTTAACGTGTTTATCATTGTATAACATATGCAAGTCAGTTGCATTGTATTGGATTTATTGCATGCGTTTAGGGCAGTTGGTATCAAATAAAATAACAGTGGTTGTTTGGATCAAATTCAAGATTTGAATGTTCATATGTTATTATGGTTGTACAAGTTTGGGACCAACGATATATTCGTTCTTACTGTGAGGAAATAAAAACCTTCGATGTGTAGTTTTTCATTTATTTCAGCTTATTTCATCACTTACACCATACAAATTAGTTTTTCATTTATTCATTTATTACATATCAACAATTGATCTTACTATTTCGATAACCTTTTTGTTATTCAATATTTGTTTTACGATGAATACCCCGTGCATCGCACGGGTGTAGTACTAGTTTATTATATTTCGAGGGTGTAAGGTGTTATTAATTTGTTTCGAGAATATAAAGTGCCAAAATGGTATATTTAAAAGGTGCAAATGGAATTAAACCCTAATAAAAAAAGGAAAAAAAAAGTTATTTCATTAATTAAATCGACGACAAGTTTTAGCAAGTACTGTATTACTAAGGTGGTGTTTGCAAATGCTTTTTGAAAGTGATTATACGGTTTTTTTTTGCTCATAATATGTTTTTAGGTGTTTGCAAAATCAACTTTTGCTTTTGCTTCTCTAAAAATAATCTGCTTTAAGCTATTTTTTTAAAAGCACCCATAACCCAACCTTTTCTATTTAAGTTCATTTTCTGGAATATTTGCAAACACTCCCAACTTTTAGAAATAAGCAATTAAAACTAACTTAAATCACAATCACTATTTTTTGCTTTTAAATAATCATTTGCAAACACCACCTAAATGGACGAGTTGCTTCAAGGCCCAAATAGCGTATCCTAAAAGTAGAAATATCAATGCTTTGCTTCAAACAAAGTATCCGCACACCCATCTTTTCTTAGGATATTTAAATCGTAAGGTCCCTCTTTTCAGCCTACCTGAGTTGGTTGGTTATACACTGAATTACCTGTAGAAGACAAAACCCGACTTTTATTTGTCTCTAAATTTATGCGCTGTCAATTTCGATGAGACGTGCATAACCATCCGATTGCTCGAAATCTTCGCCTAAACCCCCAAACTAGACTGCATTATTGACATAATTAATATCCAAGTCGAATTTGTTGACGTGCAGGCGATCTTGGAGTTGATGCAACATGCTGAAACGGTTTGACAAGCTTATTGTCACGGCCCGCCAGTTTTCCTTGATTGGGTAGGTTAAGAGTCCAAAACTTAGCCCAAATAGAATTAGACCTAAGATGACCAAAATGTAAATAGACGTGGGAAAACTTTCTAGAATCCTACATTGTAATTATTTTGTAGGAATTCGTTGGGGTGTACTAGTGAACAACTCCTAGCCCTCAAATCAAATAAATCTCCATGATCCATTAATGAGGTGGTCGAGGTGGCCTAATATAAATAAGAGTAGGGACTTTATTTATAAGTATCCAAGAAATGCAATTAATTGTAAGCACCTAAGCAATACAGATTCGTTGTTAAGGGAACAAGACATTATGCTCGGCAAAATCGATACACGTATGGTTATAGTGGAAGATTACTAGGGTGGATAAAAGTAGAGGATATGCGAGAAACATTTATCAAGGACAAGAAAGAGGTGGCTGAAAAGCTTTACTCAGGAGGGCTAATACTGGTTTCATTCTTTGAAGTATTTTTTATTTTTATTTTATATTTTATTGGTTTTAATAGAATTGTGAATCACCACTTATATCAGTATTAAAACCAATAAAATATAAAACAAACTAATACTGTCATCCCGATTTGTTAGTCGAGGATTTAGTTGTAGATTTCAAAACATAATTGTATTTTATAATGGATTAAATTCTATTCATTGCTCATGGATCAGGGATCAGGTATCTATGATTGACTTATAAACCCTAAGCTTTTATCTAAGTAATTGTATTTTACCTTGCATATCGTGCAATAAGAATTGTGTAATGTTTGGTTTGAAGTACGCTGTATTTTTGTCGAAATGTTTATTATATGTTGCCAAACCCTAGCAATGTATGTTGGTTATGGATGCATTTCAAACAGAACAGTAAAGATTTTCAACGTGCATGGGAGTTTAAAATGCTAATATGATACCATCTTTTTGGGCAATTATTCGAGAAAACAGTTGATGTCGGTGCCAAACAAGCACTAGTTTCGTTTCTTGAACGAAAAACACCAAAACAAAAATCAAGGTAAAAAACCGAACTTGACTTCCCCTCATGTTTCAAGGAGCAAGTGGAAGTGGATGAGCACGATTGATAACACCGAATATAAGGATACGTAGGAACTTGGCAAGTAGGGCAGAGATAGCGTTTCCCCAGCACCCTCCTCGCAATGCAACACGAATGGAAAGCATGATTGCACGAGGGGAACACAGATAAATGAGTCCCCAACATCGGACCCCGCAAACAAATGTCGCAGAAGGGCATAATCGTCATTCCATCTTCAACATCCTCAACCCTAATCTTCGCCTGGTTAACCTCTCTGATTGCAAGCCCCCCTGTCATCAGACACAACAAATAATACAAAACGTCTGTTTCAAATTGTTTCCGACCCACAACCCTTGGCCAAATGACACACGGGACCATTTTTTCTTCTCTTATGTCTCGTTCGCTAACATAATCAACCGGCTCCCGTTCTTGCTGAACTGTGAAGACATTTAGGCTAACAGCTACAGGGATTAACCATCGAGATGCGTGTTCGGGTTCCCCGGCCGCTCGAACGGCAAAATCGATCGCCTCTTGGACAAACATACCGATTTTGTCGTTAGTCATCCAATATTCCGCAAGTTTCTACTCCACCATCCACATCAGACCATGTGCACCATCTCCACATACTTCCGCATTGAATCTCTCCGAATCCATAATCCGGTCTTCGGATTAGTTCGTGTTCAAAATGAAGCTAGTTCTTATCTCGAAAAGATAGGTTTTCTCTACACGTATATATTGACATTCGCACGATTTTATTATTCCATCGTCGATAGAGAGATCGTAATGATATTTGTACCCCGGCACTCTACATGAAGCCACTCCGAGTATAGCCCGATAGACCGGTACAACACTTGTTCCTTCAACATTTATTATTATACATTAGATATATCTATTTACCATATACACATATCTAAATTTAAACAGAAGAAACATGGATAATCGGAGTTAAATCCAAACAAATAAAATAGTATAAACTGGCTTTACTACATGAATGTATAAATTTAGTAAATATATATATATATATATATATATATATATATATATATATATATATATATATATATATATATATATGTTC